TTTGGAGCTCACAGTGTGCCACAAGCTGCTTCAGATGCTGGATGTGGAACTACAGGACATAACATTAGCCCTGCTGGATGTTGGACTTGCTTTGGTCCCAATGCTCTGTATTCCCATTTGTACCTTTTGGAACAGTAATGTTTATTTTCTGCCACTGAATGTTGGAAGTGTTTTTAACTTCTCATTTGTACAGGGGCTCACAGCTAAGAGTTTGCCTTACATGTTGGAGGAGACTTGGGACTTGGACTCTTCAGCAATGCTGAAACTGTTAGGATTTTGGCAACTCTTGCAGATGGACTAAATGCCTTTTGCATAAAGGGATGTGCATGAGTCTTTAGGGGGTGAAATGTTATGGTTCTGATGTAATAGAATGTCTTTGTACCTGGAAACTGATTTAAAGAAATGTGTCTGGTTGCCAAGTTAACAAGGGGTGGACTGTTATGGCTGATACATTGTGTCAACTTGGGGAGTCTAGAGGTTTGGCTAAGTGACTCAGCAGGAAGCCGGGATGCTTACTTTGTATACATCCTGAGCCTGTGGAAGAGGAGCACATGGAGATTGTGTGAGAGCCACATGCCCCTTAGGTGGGGATAGCCTATTTACAATATAAGGGAGCGAAAGAGGGTTGCACGCTTACACTGCCATTGCCCCCTTTGCTCTTGTTGCTTTGCTCTTGTTGCTTTGCTATCTTCTGCCTCGGAGCCAACCAAGTATGGACTGAAACTTCCACAAACTGTAAGCTAAACAAACCTTTGCTTCCTTAATTTTGGGCGTTGGGTATTTTGTCTCAGCAATGAGAGAAAAGTAACAAGGACACCTGGTCTCAAAGATGCATAAGGGTAACCCCAATGGCACATAACAGCAAGGTCTGGGATCACCTCTCTGCCCCAAAGAGTATGGAAATATGCTAGAATTCAGCAGCCTCCTCCTAATGACTGTAAAGGAAGCACTGTCCTTAAAGCACTTCCTGTAAAGGAGCAAGGCACATTTCAGTGAAGGAAGGCAGGAAGACCTGTTCCTCCAAGCTGTCGGAGATGAGTAAGAGTTGACCCTGAAGAGTAGAAAGGGTTGAACTACCTTATTACTGGGACATTTCCCTAGCGGCTGGAGAAAAACAAGAAGAGGCACAGATGAGTCGATGGGCTGCATACATGGAGACACCAGCATGTGGGATGCTGATGAAGAATGACAGAGAGAGAGGCCTTACATTAGCTGGTCAGGTCACACTACTGATGCAGAAGTGATGCTAGCAGCCAAGTGCTGGAAGCGGTGCTTACAGCCTGCATTTGGCCCACTGGGGCTCCTGGAGAAGAAGCAAGACCTCAGGCACTGCAGAACTTCCCCTCTGCCCACTGTGCTGCTGGACAATTGGAGTAGTGGGGTAACTGCAGAAACCAGTCTGGGCCTTGCAGGGGCAAAAGGACAGCCACTTCAAAGAACCTGTGGACACTGAGATCTGCTGGTAGACCAACGGGCAAAGGCTAGGGCAGACAAGGAAAGCCCAGTGGGAGTCTCGCGCTCAAAGACACAGTAAGAGCCAGACGTGGTGGCGTGCACCTATAATCCCAGCACTCGAGGCTGAGGCAGGAGGATCATTGTGAGTTCAAGGCCAGCCTGGGCTACAAAGCAAGCTCAAGGCCAGCCTGAACTACGTAGCAAGACCCTGTCTCAAAAAAGACCAAAAAAAAGAAGCACTGAAAACGGCAAGCTTCAGGAAGGAGAGCAGTGTTGGCATGAGCGACCTCATCTTCCTGCTTCTGAAAAGGCAGTCTGCTTCCTCTTGTGTGGCTCCATTGCCCTTTCTGTGTTTGTTTTTCATGATGGCCTTATTCCTTTTTTTTTTTTTTTTTTCTTTTTTACTGGGGATTTCAACCAGCTTTATGTATGCTAAAGTGAATGAGCCATGATGGATGACCGTGAACACATAGCTGAACTACACTGTGTGCATGAAATTTTGTTTGTACTTGTTTTTTGAGATAGGGTTTTGTCACATAGATTCAGAATCCTCCTGCCTCTGCCTCTTGAGTCCTGGGATTATGGGCGTAACACCACCTCTCCTAGTTCTGCATGTGTTTGAATCTTTATTGCAGAGAGCTTCTGATTTCTAAAAGGATCATCCTAACATAAGGCATTGTGTAGCAGCTGGCCACTTCTTATTGTTACAGCATCTGCATATTTTTCTTTGAAAGGTTCTTGCTCCGTAATAGTCAAGATGCTGGTAGCTAGAATGTGTTCAAGGGTAAGTGATTTTGTTTTGTAGCTTGCAGAAAGAAATGCAAATGATAAAAACCAGACCAAGGGCAGGACTGAAATAACTACTAGTTTGGCCCTCTCCCACAGAATGTAAGGCCTCACCCAGACTTGCATCTACCTTCACAAAAGTGTGATCATGTAAAGTAAATTCATGTAACTGAAGAATGTTCATGCAATGGCACCGCTGTGGTTCTGAGCCAGTGAAGTGAGCCAGTTTGCTTAGGGGAAAGAGCAGCACCCTGAACATTAGATGGTGCAGGAGGAGGAGCAAAATGGAGAGAAGCAGACAAAATGCAAGGGAGGAACCATTTCATCATTTGAGAAGAGTGTCCAGAATTTGAACCATGACTCTTGATTGCCTAGCTGTATTTAATGCCAAGATCTAGAACTGCATTTCCTCAGGTGAGGACTTGGAAGAATTGGGAGGCAAATAATATGCAGCAGAATCTTTTGTACTCTGGGCCTTGAGCTTATTCAGTATAAACTGTTGAGAGTCTTAAGCAATTTTTTAATTTTCTTAAACTTTGGAAGAAGTTAGGTTTTTTTTTTCCCATTCCATGCGATACTACTTTTCTTATAGTTATTCTGTCAATACTACTTTAGTTATAGTTAACTAGTCACTGGCTTCTAAAAAAAGAGTATGGTGATTACCACTGTTACACATCTTGTTTTTCCAAAGCTCATGCAACATATAGGGTGAAAACTTAAGACAGTGGGTAAGACATTTGGGCCGTACACATGCTTAGCAGGCATGAAGTCCTGCATTCAGTCACTACCCCCACCCCCAAAAAAGGGTTCACAGAGATAAATTTATGTTATAAAAATAATTTTGCATATGGTTCAAAATATTAGATTTAAGTTATTTTGTCACGTCTCTGTTTCCATGGCCATGAATGAAGGAGGAGTGTGTGGGTGTGAGGAAGAACAGCGATACTATGTTATGAATAAACATTTTGCGGTATGAGAAAGTGCTCCAGAAATTGCGGTTAGCTGACTTCTGTAGCCATCTAAAGTCTTGGTAGTTAGCAGGTGCCCATGAGTAAAATCTGCATCTGATAGATTCTGTTATAAAATTTTCCCATATCCCTTTACAACCAAATGAGGCCCACTTAAGTTGTCCAGTGGCTGCAAGTGCACAAGCTGCCGGCTTTCCAGTACTATACCATTTAGGATGCCACTCAGGGGCTCCTCTGCAAATTCTCCAGCTGGTTTTCTTAAAATCAGAATCTCAAGAGTGTCTTGCATCCTTGAATTCCTAAATTCTGCCTTTCCCCCTTTATGGTTCCTAATATTGCAAGATTGAGTTTTATTCTTTTAAATGCAGAAAAGACCTGCCCTTCACTTTTTTAATAGATTTCTTCTTGCTTTAGAAAAAATTTATGCTTCAGAACAAAATTCGCACTCTAGATTTCTCAAGACTGCGTGCCTCAAACAACACCCTCCCCCACCCCCCCTTGACATCCCCTTTTTCTCCTTTCTTTACCTCTTCTGTTTTGCTGCTGGTCGGTGTTACTGTTAATATTGCATGGGTTATTTAGCTGGTGTTTAAAGTTAAAAGCAGTGATCTGAGATCATTATAGAGTAGAGACCATTTGGTGTCTGACATTTCTAACTCTGGCTGCTTCTCCTTGGTCTCTTGCCTTTGAATACTGAGTAGGCAGGGCGGCCGGGCTGAAGGCCATGACTCTGAGTGTGGGAGCATGGCTGGGGAAGAGCGCTTCTTTCTTCTGCGTGGATAATTACCCGGACTGCTCCATCCGCTGTGCCCACTCTGGTATGCCCCCAAGATGTGGGACAAAGGTGAGGCCGCCACACAAAGACAGGAGAATAATTGCATTAAGGGATAGCAAAGAATAGTAAGAATAGCTTTTATTTATTGAGTGCATTAAGGGATAGCAAAGAACAGTAAGAATAGCCTTTATTTATTGAGTTTCTCTAACACCAGGCTTCGGGCCACAATCCAGACTCACATAAAAAGCCTCATCCTCCCAGCTGCACTGAGAAGTATCACACATTTGACAGATGAGGAAACATGGCTTTATGTTAAGAAGCTCGCCCTAGTTCGCACTTTGTCTCACTAGGAGCTGCGGCAAAGATAGGAGCCCGAGCCTGCATGCTTTGAAAGCCTTCACTTGAATGCTTGCCTGGACTGCAAGTGCCCTTTATTTGGCTGGAGTACATGTGCATGCACACATGCGCGTGTGAACGAGCGTCCACTAGTGTACAGATGGAGGCACTTTCAAGCTGAAGAAAGCACTTTGGCACAATCCTACACTTCCTTACAAAACCCAGAGCTTTACATTTTATGTTAAGGAAAGCGAAGTGAGAGCCAAAAGACGGGACAGAGCTTGGAAAGCTGTCACTATCTCGGTTCCTGCATTTGCAGTGCATCATTAAACCTCTAAATTCCTGGCTCATGTCTGTACAATAACAGTTCAATTACCCATGTTAATGGAGGGAGGCCAGACGTGAAGAACTCTAAGGAGCCAGTGGTCTAAGGAGTATTTCAGTAGCTGTTTGCAATTTGTATGTGACCCATTTGGGATAGATTTATTTCCCTAAATCTGTTTGCTTAGTCATCCAAGAATAGCAATGGATTGGCCTGTCCCCCTTGCGAAGATCAAAGTGGATTATCCTTTGGGGAATACTCTACAGTTAATTCTAGAGGAAAAGCTTTTAAATTCATTGAGAAGCATAGCCTCAGACATGCTGACACCTCTTTTCTTTTTTTCTCTGAATTCATGTAGAACCTATGCTGTCAGAAGGATAAGAGATGCCTTCAGAGAAAATAAAAACGTAAAGGATCCGGTAGAAATTCAAACCCTAGTGAATAAAGCCAAAAGAGACCTTGGGATAATCCGTCGACAGGTAAGACAATTTGGTGGTAACACTCTTTTTCATTAAGAGCCCTCAGCTCTGACATTTCCCCCTTGATTGGACATCATTGCTTTTGCTGTTTATGATTTATACCACGAAACACGTTGCCTTTTTCTAATACAAGTGTGGAAACATGAATTATATTATAGAATTCAAGGACAACATGGAGGACTGGGGATTTAGCTCAGCGACACAGCGCCTGCCTGGTGAGCTCAAGGTCATGAGTTCGATTCCCAATACCAGAAAAACAGAAACAAAAATAAAAAACAAACAAAGACAACATGGAGGAAGGTATCTCCTTCCCAGCATTTCCAGGGATTGAATCCTTCTGGGAAGTTGAGCTTTCATAGCTTGCTAAATGTTGCTGCTGTAAGTGTGGAAAACTTCAGTACAATAACATTTCAAAATCCACATCTTTGTACAGTGTCCTACACACGTATGTAGAAATACGTCATGGAATAAATATACTGTCCTTCTCCTAGTATTTTTCATTATAATACAAGATGAGTAGAATGGCTGATGAACCTCAGATGTGTTTCACATGCAAGATGTCTGCAGTGCAGATGGTATAAAGCACAGCTGCTTGGGTGCTGACCCTATAAAGGACCCTTACAAGGTGTTTTTGTTTTTGTTTTTTCATTCTATATAAGTGCCAGGGGTCACCTTGAACTGGGGGGGCTTTTGTCACTTAAAAGGTAGTGGAGCATTCAAGCCCTCCTGGTCTCCTGGGTGGTATGATACATCTGACTTCTGCAGGAGTCATTAGAATGTCAAAGGCTAAAGTAGCCCTCCATCAGTTAGTTTTCTCACCCTGTAAGAAAACTGCGCCTTTCACTGTTTTCCTCTGATTTAGCAACAGGCACAACAGGCACATTTCTACTTTCAATTCTTGTTTTCTTTTACCTGCAGTAGTTGTTTATAGAGGGGAAACCCCCTTACCATGACATAAGCTCTGCTACAGTGTGTCTTTGAAATCCTCGGGAGGATCCCTGCTTGGCTGGCCTTCCCTTAGACTCCGGTCTGTGCCTGACCCTTCTTCATGCTTGACTCTAAACAGAATTCAAACAAAAAGCACTGTTAAAAGCTGTAATACGTATTTAGTGTGAAGAATGTCTAGGTCTATTGCCAGCCTGACTGTTCCTGATGGAACAGTTCCTTCCACAATAACATTTCAAACTCTGTTAATCCTACTTAAGGTCTGCAGTTAGCTGGCAGGAGAGTAACAGTCACATGCAAACAGGTCTAGGAGATGACTGTTAGTGAAAGAGAACAGGGAAGTTGAGAGAAGGGGTGCTCTGCACATTTGCACGTACTTTGAGGAGGCAGATAAATGAGTTGCTCGCCCTTTGGAAAACTAGAGCAGGAGCATTTTCCAGTCACCAGCAGTTAGGATTTCATGAGATCTCCAGAACTTAGAAAACTGTATTGTATATAAACTCAGTTAGATTCAGTTCTGCAGCTCTTTCTCTGTGTAGAATTGGCAAGCATTTTCAAAACAGGCTGATTTTATCTTTCATATAAAAGCATTCAGAACATCAACCACTTAGAAAATAATCAGTGCCGTAATTGTCCAGGTCACTTCTTGGTTTGAAATGCTCAAACTGCTCTTTGAAAGGAAGGCCAGCCCTGAGGGCTCGCTCAGTGATAGAGCACTTGCCTGGGTTCTATGCCCAGCTCAACACATACACAAAAGACCCCGTCACTGTCCACAGTGAATCCATGCTGCAGACCAAGGCAAGCATCCCTGGAGCAGGTGGACAGTGAGCAGCGCGAGGGTGCCCTCCCCAGGATAGCTGGACAACTGCACCTTCCTGGTGGAGCTGCTGGCTGCCTCCTTCACTGGCCAGTGCTTCACAGGAACTGGTGGAATCGCGTGCGTGTCATCCCCTCCAGAGAGCCCAGTGAACACGCACAGTCTCCTTCCAATGGAGAGCTGCTTTGCCACTTGTACCTCAGCGACTTCCCTTTCACGTCAGGCCTTCCTCAAGCCAAGCACGGTGTGTATCACAGAGCGGGAGGTGCGGCAGGCTCCCCAAGCCCCTTGCTAAAGCTAGATTAAGTTAGCCTTGGAGCAGAGGCCTGGCATGAGTAGACTGTGTGCTTTTACACTGTCCTCTGCACCGGCTGCTGGTTTTGTTTTGCCCTCCCACCTGCCTTCCTGTGTCTGCCGTGCTGTATTCACACACTGCCTGAGGGGTCTTTAGCAACAGCATGAACAAGATCAGCTTGCTCCCTGCTTAGCTCCCTCCAGAGTGTCATCAGTGTCATCAAATCTGAAGTCTTTCTCAAGTCCTTGCAAGTGCACCCTGGCTCTGACCTCCCTCACACCGGCTCCATTGCCATTTAGCTGACCTGTTGCACCCACCAGCTCATTCACCTCTCAGACTGTGCGCCCTCTGCCTGCTGGAGGCTCTGTGTGGATTCTCCATGACCTTTTTACCTTCCTAAGTGGGAAGTAGACTTCCCCTTCACACAAGGGCTTCCTGAGCCCCTATCAGATGACACAGCTGCCCTCCCCAACCCGGCATCAGCACTTATCCGTACCCACTAGAACATCACTCTTTCCTGCCTTATTTTCTGCCCTCCCCCCACCCCCACCCCACACAAAGCCATACCGCTATTCAGACAGGTCATGGTCACCACTACCTAGTGGGCAAAAGCAGGCTTCTGGGGTCAGCCCGCCAGCTATAAGAGATTGAACCTCCGTGCCTAACAGAAAATGCACATGAGGATAGCAGGCTAGTAGTAGGAAGAACATGAGAAGCCCCTGAAATGGTGTTGGCACACAGTGACACACAAGTGCTTTCTGTTATTATTACACAGTATCTAGAACGGTCTTGCGTGGAGCTGTATGTCTGGTGTTTGCTGACTGAGTGAAGACCTTGTCCCAAGATTGTACAGCTCACTGAAGGGTTCTCTGCTGCCCAAATCTGGATGGCCACCAAGAACTTTTTCCTGAGGGAGTGAACTGTGAAAAGAATTTCCATCAGTCTCTTGAGCTGTGCTGACCTTCGTATCAAGCAGCTCTTCCCCTGGAGTGTTTGGACCCACGCCCCTCCCCCGGCGTATGCACCTGTGACAGCTGCAGGTTCCCATAGGCAGGAAGCCCTTGGCCACCGTCCCAGCTGCCAGATGTGCTCGTCTCCACCCTCAACACAGTTACCTGCGTCCTCACTTTCCAGTCTCTCTGCAGAGTGCAGTTTCTTCAGTTCCTTCAGGGGTCTCTGGTGCTGTGAGGCCACCGAAAGCCTGGTACGATCTTGCAGTTTTTAAAATAGTTTCTGAACAAAATGTTCTCATTTGCTTGGGTGGAGAAACTGTAAAGGAAAATGGATGCCTTAACCAAGTCCAAAGAGTAAACTCAGAAGGTCAAGGACCTGAGTTGTTGGAAACTAGAAGATAGCAGTACTCCTAAGTCATCCTGCCAATTTGTTCCCGAGGTGTCTAAAGACCTCCCTGCCTCAGCCTCTCCACAGAGATGCTTTATTCTTCCTCTGTGGCCTTCATGTGCAAGATTCTTAGTCTGCATTGACTACCCTGAGGGCTAGCATCGAGATGGCATCAGGATTTCCTGGTAGCCTTCACGGAGCTAAGGATTTATCTCATTTCTAGGAGTGGCAGGTTTTTTCTTTCATAGTGAGCAAGTCCACCTCCTTTTGTTCATTCTCCACGATCATGGCCAAATGTACAGTTCTTTTCTTGACATCCTTACACCAACTCTGTCCCTGAAAGTACAGTCTGGTCTGTCAGTCTCAAATCTCTTTCCAAGTGCTGTACATCCATCTTACCATATCCCAGAACTAGTGGAAACATTCTTCCACCTTCTCATTAACTGCCATCATTTCCATAAAGACAGTTCTGGAAAGACAAGCTGACCCTTCAGCTCTTAGGAGATCCTCCCCTCTGCTGCAGGCAGGTTCTGGACTGAGCTCCACTTCCCTGTCTGCTCTGCAGGTGGCATCAGAAAGGTTGTAGAAGACACTGTGTGGGGCCAGATGGAGCCAGATAGGGTGGGCCGGGCGGGGCTGTGTGTGGCACTGGACAGGTAGCTGTCTAACAGTCTGGAGAGTATTTCTGCCTCAGACCAGAGACGGGCTTCTTGGGTCTTTCACATCAGAACGATGAGCAAGAAAGTGAGATTTGCTTTTGGTTTTCTTTTTTTCTCTCCTCCACCTCCAAAAGAATTCTTTCTTATTCCTATTTATAAGGTACTAGTTGGATTCACTATCAGTTAATCACCCCCTGTAGTATAGCGTAGCAGATTGCTATGGCCCTTTGATGTTTTTCCCCCGGGGCTAGGGATGGAACCAAGGCCTTGGCATGCTAGGCCAGTGCTCCGCCGCTTAGCTGCATCTCCAGCCTGCACTTTGGGCTCTTAAACAACCACGGTGTACCTTGTTTTGCTCCTGCAAATGTCTTCCAAACACCTTCAGCCTCAGCAGCCCTTGGGAGCCTTCCCTCCCCGTGTAGTTCATAGAGATTTTGTGTTTGTCCAAGAAAAATACTTCCAAAGCATCCTGAAAAACAGCTGCAGTCTTCGTCCTATGTCTGACTTACTCGGTACGTCTGTGGGAAGGAAGACAGCAGAAGAGCCTTGGGATTGGGATTGGGGATGCGGCAGTGGTGTAGGCACCTGCCCGAGGTCTCTGTTCTGATGAGTCCCTTGAACACATGAATTAGGATCATTTCAGGAATATTCAGATAAATCCTGCAAGCATAGCACCTCTTGTCTTGGAACCTGGTGAAAATTAATACATCTGTGCAAAGCCTGGATGCGTTTGCAGTTGCATGGTCTGTGAAGGGTCGTTACAGTGGAATGATTGCTTCATTCTTCTACGTCCTTGTATTGCAGCAAACTCAGGGCACAGAAGTCATTTAGAGAACATGAAGAGTATGTCTCATAGGCCTTTCTCATCGTGTGGGGAACCAGGTGAATCCACAAGCTCTAGGAGAGGAGCTGCTATTTTGTATTAAGAACCTTCAGCTACTGC